AGGAGGGGCGAGGGAGAGGAGGGGGGAGGAGGAGGAGCCACTGTTCTTGGCTAAGATGGTGCAGCTCACAGACGTGATCAGAGATTGAGACACTTTGTCCAGACACAAGGGCCCTGGGACAGGCCCTGGTTTGCTGATGGCACAGGATATGAGTGAAGCAACTGTTTAGCGAGTTCAATGCAGTTCAATGCGTGTTCACTCCACCCACACTGTGTTTCCATCTCTCCACCCTGGTTTTCAGGCTGCACCTAACTGGGCATAGAGTGCTTGTCCCAATTCAGAGACAAGAAAGCTTGGAAGAAAACAAGTCCAAAGCTAAGAGAAATCACCCCAAAGTTCAAGGGCATCACTCCCGAACTGAAAGACATCACCCCAAAGCTGAAGGAAGGAAGCCACCTGCAGAATCCGGATTCGATGATACCCTGTTTTCTTGGCTGCTGGAGAGGCCACAGACCAGAAGTCATTCATCCATGAACTCTCACAGGTAAAAATACCCAGACCAGAAGCCTGGAGCCCATGAGCGTCACGGAGAGAGACCCAAGAAGGAGGAAACATTACCAAAAAGCTGAATTGGAGAAGCAAGCGTCAAACTGGATGCTTCCAAAAATGTGTGGCACTAACGTTAAGAGGCAAGCTGAGACTGGGCATTTCTGAAGTGTATTCCAGATCGTGAATATAAACAGATGTCCAAAGTATTGTAAATGATTTTGACGGAGTATTTGTGATAAAATGTGTTACTCAGACCGGGAGGCAGCCTTCAGGATGTAAAAAGAAAAGGTCTAAATGAACGCAGACAACGGGCAGTGCAGTTTAGAGGACAGCCCGCACCAGTCCAATCCCCAGCACCACGAAATGCAAAACACAGATGAAATTTTTTTAAATGAAAAGTGAAAAATCCTACAAACCATAAGAAAAAGCATTTATGTAAAATGTTATAAAGCTATCAGTCAAAACACGTAAGATGAACTGATGGTAAAGGGCAAAGACCGCTGTCTGAACATAAAACCAAAAGTCAAAACTCTGCTATCCCTAAGAAATGCAAACAGGCCCAAATGTGAATCAGCTACAGACTGCGGTTTAGTTTAAGGGTTTTTCATAATCTGGATGTGGTGGTAAGGTTGTCTGGCATTCAGCATTCAGGAGGCTGAGGCAGGAGGGGTCCAAGTTCAAGGTCAACCTGTGCTACATAGTGAGACCCTATCTGAAAACAAAGGATTTACCATGTTTTGCAATATATTCCAAAAATATAGATCAGAAAATAAAGGTTACTACCACAAAATATCATAAAAGTGGTATATTAAAAGGTATTTATAATATATATAACTATTATAATAGTTGACTAGGACATCCTAATGATTAAAATGCTACAAGGAACATAGTCTAGGTTATTAAAACTGGCAAATGTAATCACCTTCTTAAGAAGATTTACTTTTATTTTATGTGCTATGAATGCTTTGTCTGCATGTAAGTGCACCACATGTGTGCAATGCCTGCAGAACCCAGAAGAGAGCATCGGATCCCCTGGCACTGGTGTTATTGACCATTGTTAGCTGCCATGTGGGTGCTGGCACGGTCCTCTGCAAGAGCAGACAGTGCTCTTAACTGCTGAGCCAGCTCTTACCCTCTGTGATTGTGTCCTAAAGCCCCCACAGTACATCACAGCAGATTGAGCAGGTAAGAAACCAAACATCTACTCCGTATATCAGAAGATGGATCAGCCCCACTTCTTGACTCAGTATCTCTAGAAGTTCAAAGGACTTAAGATACAATTAGCACTATCTTTGCAAAAAGCATTAATTTTGTTCTTTCTTTTGAAACTCCCTGTGACTTTAGCTTATGATGTCTAATCAATCTGTACATACACTTCTGTGCTATGTTCTGTAACACCTGCCTTATGAGGCCCCCTCAGCCCATCTTCTACAAATAGTAAGCATTTGATGAAATTCTTGTTGGATGAGCAGATATACACCTCTGAGAACAGTAGCCATACTCCTGCCCAGTCATGTTGAAAAGAATTCCAATTATGTCAACAGTGCTCTCCCTTCTCCCCTCATACAGAACAGCACACACACATTATTTCTTCAAAATGGAAAGCTGACCTGTAATTTGGTATAGTGAACACTATCCCATATGTATGAACGTATTGCCATGAGACCCGTTATTTTGCACAATTGATATATGCTAATAAAGATGTTTAACCAAAGTAGTAAGTACCAAGTAGCATTGACAAAATGGATGCCCACTGACCTTGTTAGGATATAAGGCGAAAATGAGGCCGGGTTATCCTGCTCTGAGAAGAGGGGCATAGTCCCTCCCATTATCCACAGGCGGAAGTACAGAATGACAGTCACCTGGGGAGAACGAGATCAGGTGAGATGCCGCCTGCACCTCCTCCCTCATTTTTGACCATTCTGAGCCTATCGAGAAGTGGGGTCAGCTGTGCCCTGCCCTCAGGCTATGTGGGTTTGTGGCATCTTGGGACCGTGGTATGTGGAAGCAACAGGCTGTGTTGCTCTAGGCCTGACCCCTGTGAGGTCCTGTAACTTGGGGTTTGCTCTTTCAGAAGCCACCTGCCATGTTGTAAGGAGGGCCTGACTCTATTTCCAGAAAGTCCTGCATAAGATATCACAGACAGACCCCGTGGAGGACAAGATGAAGCAGCCCTTCTGGTGGTCGGTAATCCTGCCTGAGTAACCCCAGCCCAAAGTCTTGATGACAGGGGAGCTGTCCAGCTGAGCTCCTAGACAGAAGCCCCAGGACCAAGCACAGAGTGGCTAGTGGCTATATCTATGTCCCCAGGTTGTGGGTCTGTGTGTTACACAGCAATAGATACTGAACAGAGTGGCTATATCTATGTCCCGGGGTTGTGGGTCTGTGTGTTACACAGCAATAGATACTGAACAGAGTGGCTATATCTATGTCCCTGGGTTGTGGGTCTGTGTGTTACACAGCAACAGATACTGATGTAGTGAGTCTTCTGCTGCTCCCTCTAGAGATCTCCAACCCAACTTTAATACCCTGAACAGGGCTGGAAAGCCTATGTCATTCACACCACCTCATCAAGTTCCCATGTATGCCTTCACAGTTATGAAGTGATGTTGCTAGAACCTATGCTTGCTTCTGTTAACAACCGTGTCTGAGTTGAGTCAAATTGAAAACACCCCTTTTAGCTACTTCTGAAGTGTATGTTATATACTTACATAACTTATGACCAGAATGGCCCTTTTTAAAAATGGTCTCAGGGCAAGCAGGAAATTTCTGTTGCTGCTTGCTGTCAGACACCTGAAACAGGAAAAGGGAAAGAATGTTAGGACCAAAGGTCTACAGCAGTACGCTCCTCTATGAGCCTCCTGACACGGTCTACAGCAGTACGCTCTGCTGTGAGCTCCTGACACGGTCTACAGCAGTACGCTCCGCTATGAGCTCCTGACACGGTCTACAGCAGTATGCTCCTCTATGAGCTCCTGACACGGTCTACAGCAGTACGCTCTGCTGTGAGCTCCTGACACGGTCTACAGCAGTACGCTCCGCTATGAGCTCCTGACACGGTCTACAGCAGTATGCTCCTCTATGAGCTCCGGACACGGTCTACAGCAGTACGCTCTGCTGTGAGCTCCTGACACGGTCTACAGCAGTACGCTCCGCTATGAGCTCCTGACACGGTCTACAGCAGTATGCTCCTCTATGAGCTCCGGACACGGTCTACAGCAGTACGCTCTGCTGTGAGCTCCTGACACGGTCTACAGCAGTACGCTCCGCTATGAGCTCCTGACACGGTCTACAGCAGTATGCTCCTCTATGAGCTCCGGACACGGTCTACAGCAGTACGCTCTGCTGTGAGCTCCTGACACGGTCTACAGCAGTACGCTCCGCTATGAGCTCCTGACACGGTCTACAGCAGTATGCTCCTCTATGAGCTCCGGACACGGTCTACAGCAGTACGCTCTGCTGTGAGCTCCTGACACGGTCTACAGCAGTACGCTCCGCTATGAGCTCCTGACACGGTCTACAGCAGTATGCTCCTCTATGAGCTCCGGACACGGTCTACAGCAGTACGCTCTGCTGTGAGCTCCTGACACGGTCTACAGCAGTACGCTCCGCTATGAGCTCCTGACACGGTCTACAGCAGTATGCTCCTCTATGAGCTCCGGACACGGTCTACAGCAGTACGCTCTGCTGTGAGCTCCTGACACGGTCTACAGCAGTACGCTCCGCTATGAGCTCCTGACACGGTCTACAGCAGTATGCTCCTCTATGAGCTCCGGACACGGTCTACAGCAGTACGCTCTGCTGTGAGCTCCTGACACGGTCTACAGCAGTACGCTCCGCTATGAGCTCCTGACACGGTCTACAGCAGTATGCTCCTCTATGAGCTCCGGACACGGTCTACAGCAGTACGCTCTGCTGTGAGCTCCTGACACGGTCTACAGCAGTACGCTCCGCTATGAGCTCCTGACACGGTCTACAGCAGTATGCTCCTCTATGAGCTCCGGACACGGTCTACAGCAGTACGCTCTGCTGTGAGCTCCTGACACGGTCTACAGCAGTACGCTCCGCTATGAGCTCCTGACACGGTCTACAGCAGTATGCTCCTCTATGAGCTCCGGACACGGTCTACAGCAGTACGCTCTGCTGTGAGCTCCTGACACGGTCTACAGCAGTACGCTCCGCTATGAGCTCCTGACACGGTCTACAGCAGTATGCTCCTCTATGAGCTCCGGACACGGTCTACAGCAGTACGCTCTGCTGTGAGCTCCTGACACGGTCTACAGCAGTACGCTCCGCTATGAGCTCCTGACACGGTCTACAGCAGTATGCTCCTCTATGAGCTCCGGACACGGTCTACAGCAGTACGCTCTGCTGTGAGCTCCTGACACGGTCTACAGCAGTACGCTCCGCTATGAGCTCCTGACACGGTCTACAGCAGTATGCTCCTCTATGAGCTCCGGACACGGTCTACAGCAGTACGCTCTGCTGTGAGCTCCTGACACGGTCTACAGCAGTACGCTCCGCTATGAGCTCCTGACACGGTCTACAGCAGTATGCTCCTCTATGAGCTCCGGACACGGTCTACAGCAGTACGCTCTGCTGTGAGCTCCTGACACGGTCTACAGCAGTACGCTCCGCTATGAGCTCCTGACACGGTCTACAGCAGTATGCTCCTCTATGAGCTCCGGACACGGTCTACAGCAGTACGCTCTGCTATGAGCTCCTGACACGGTCTACAGCAGTACGCTCCGCTATGAGCTCCTGACACGGTCTACAGCAGTATGCTCCTCTATGAGCTCCTGACACGGTCTACAGCAGTACGCTCTGCTGTGAGCTCCTGACACGGTCTACAGCAGTACGCTCCGCTATGAGCTCCTGACACGGTCTACAGCAGTAAGGTCCTGCTATGAACCTCCTGCTCTCTGATAGGGGCCCAATCACAACACCCGGGTATCACTCCTCATTCTACTTCTTGCAACCTGGGAGATGGGGACAGGTTTCTTCACTTCTTCTGAACTTCTGTTTTTCTCACTTAAGAGGCAATACTGCCTACTTTGTGAGGCATATGTTATGTGGGTGAAGGCCCAGCATGGGAGCTGCATTATCATGCCTTCATCCAACTAACCCATACACTCTGACAACTTTGTGCTAAACACGAATCTACATGCACAGCTTTAGCTCATTTGAAGGGTGCAATGTCTTCAACCCACAGACCACCCTAGTGTCTTACAGACCCTGAAGGACAAGGGTGCCAATGTGCATGAGGTAAAATACACTGAGCATCTGTGGTGATCATCGCCCACTCACACACACTGAAGAATGTTCCTGCCTGCCTACCCTCCTAGGAACCAAACTAGACTGCAAGAATGTCAGCTTCCGGAGCATTGGGATTTGTGGGCACCCTACATCTGCCACCGTCACGCACTGGTTCAAAGTTGTAGCTGCAGACTTGTGAATGGGACTGTCTAGTTCTCACAAATACTGTGACAGGAAAGCGACAGGCATGCTAACAAGCCCCCCCCCCATGAAAGCATGGAGTCACGTTCACCTCCACACAGGCTTGTACTTCTTAGAAGAAGAGGAGAAAAGTTGGACTGAGTCACTTAATCCCTCTGCCCTGTCCCTGCTCCTGACCCCTTTTGGTTATTTTTTTTCCTTCATTCCTTTTAATCTTTTTTTTTTTCTTTCAAAGGATTCCTCTCTAGCATCTCTTAGAATCTGCATGTGAATGAGGTCTCTTCACTGGAGAGAAGCACTCATACTGGACAGAAAGCCTTTTGTAAGACCTGAGGGTGTGAGTGTCCTGCAGAGACCGTCCACTTTGAGACTGCTTACACAATGCACGTGGCTCCTGTCTGCGGCAGGTGTTTGCTAACTGCATGGGAGTGACCCCTCACTAAAGCAGTCCTTCCTCCACATCTCCTGTCCCCCTTCCCAATTCATACATCTCTGGAAGTGATACATGCTCAGATTTGGCTATCCACATATTTAATGAATAGAGGAAATTAGAGTTCATTGCTAACAAGCTTTGGACTGGATCCATCTTCCAGAGCTGCTTCTAAGTCCTTTCCTTCCACCACAGACCCCAGCAGAGAGCTTTGTATCAGGAAGGTCATAGACATTCTGTCACAGTATGGGTCACAGCATGGCCACTGTCCCTCGGTGGGCTTTGGGGATCTGGACCTATACATATCATGTGCGTGCGTGTGTGTGTCTGTGTGCCTATGTGTGTTTGTGTGAGCATTTGTATGTGTGTGCCTGTGTTTGTGTGGACATGTGTATGTGTGTCTATGTGCACGTATCTCTGTAAGCATTTGTCTGCGTATGTTATGTCTGTGTGTGACCATGTGAGCACATGTATGTGTGTTTATGAAAGCATGTGTATCTGTGTGTCTCTGTAAGCATGTGTCTGTGTGTATCTCTGTAACTCTGTGTGTGTTTCAGCTATGCAGTTTACGGAAGCAGTCCTTGGCTTTCACATTTGGTTGAAAGTCTTTGGCTCCACAGCAGGGGCTCATGGCTGAGCCCCTTTCTGGTCCTGCCTCCCTCTGGACTCTCATATTCAGGCCAACTCAGCCAAGACCAGCCCTCGCATTCCTTCAAGGATAGAGGGCAACTAGGAGCAGACAGGCAAAGGGACCTGTAAGGGCCAGAAGTGCCAAGGAGGACGGGGCGGAAAGTGCTGCTGTCCGGGGACAAGTGTCTGCTGTGCCTGCTGTCCCATGACTGCTCTTGGAGGCTTTTCTCAAGCTCCCTCTGCTGCTTGCTTATTTTAACACTAGAAAACTTAGAAGTGGTTTTCCTTTTTACAGAGTTTTCCTAAACTCAACGTTAAACTTAGATGAAGCGCCCACATATCATTTTTCTGGGTTTGTCATGTTGGTTATTTTAGTGCTTGTATTTATAGTGTCCTCTGGCTCAGACATTCTTAGTGAAGTTCCATTTCCACAAGACGTAAGGCAAAGGGTACTATATATTTTACTCTTAAAATGTAATATCCCAAAGTACCGGAAGCCTAAAATGGTAGAGATTTGTGGCAGGAATACAAGACTTCAGGATTTCTATTTCCAGCTGTGACCCACAGAAATGACGAAGTGAGACAGACAACATGGTGCCCTTTCTGGATGAAGCACTAAATCCTGGGGAGCACGCCATGGGCTCAGTTAGCTACATCCTCTCCTCCACTCCACCCCACATCAGAGCCGGATGGTGGGACTGTCCCCGCTGATCCCTTGCATGTGGCCTGTGAAGTGGCCCTGACAGGGATGAAGGGCAACAACAGATTAGCAGCAATAAGCTAACAATACATGCCAGACATGCACCATGGTTCAAATAACCCATTTTCCATTAGAATAATTCCATGAGACCAAAAACTTAGAAGTGATCATTATTAAACCCGATTTTTCTCAGCTATACATTTTGATCATGAGGAAAAACGCTATCATCAACACTTATTTATGTATTTACGTTTGAGATAGGTTGTCATTAAATTGTCTGGGTTGGCCCGGTGCTCAGGAGGTAGTCCAGGCTGGCCTCAAACACAGGGCATTCCTCCGGCCTTAACCTCTGGAGTACTGACTGTGCCATCAAGCCTGACTGTTAACACTTAAAGTTCAGTCAAATTCTCCATAGGATTGTTCACATTCCTTGCAAAGCTAGAGAAAATGCCAACAAATTTCAAACCACCAGGAAGGTGCTAGAATGACACCCAGAGAACAGGTTTCTATTCTTCTGCTGACCTCTGTTAACACAGTTACCATAGCAATAGAGATTCTTTAGTAAGACTCTGAAGT